ATCGGTGGCACGAAAACCATTGTCGCTCATAATACTCACTTTGGACCCCAAAGGCCCCTTTATAGAAGCTGATATCAGGACAAGGTGTCATCACTTAACGACTTTCTGTCCTTCCTTCACTCTAGACAAGGCTAAGGGAGCCTGGACAATTTCAATGAGGAGGAATCCCTTCTGCGAATTGCCCTGTATTCATTTCAACGTGGCACAGTAGAGAAAATCCTGGCAAAGGTTAAAGATAGAGCATACTAGCCGTCACTACCCGGAGTCCATGGGACATATGTAGAGCACCAAACAACAGCGTAACAAGGAGCAAGTCGATATGATACACATAGCAGCTAGTCCTTTGAAGCCTATCCGCTCAAAGCTTCAAATATAGCTGTTGATTCACAGGTGACAATGACGGGGTGGCTAGTTCTAGTTTTAGTGGTCGTCTATAACTCAGTGACATACATACTTTTCAACTCATCCCCAGCAGGATATAAAGGCTGATAATGAGAGTATTATTATTGCCCGAGAATAACCATGGCCACGTTTATAGGTTTATTCATACTGGTTGCTTGTAGAAAGCGATCGCCATAGTCAAGACACAGACCCAACATCGGTGGCAGACCTTTAGCACGATCTATGCAAGTCCATATCCGTCCGTACACATAGTACAGGACCTAACCAAGCAGCAAAGATGACTGCTATAGCAAGCTGGATCAGAATAGGGGGCTAGGAGCCGCTGTTGAGTACATGGATAGGTACGTGATATTAAAAGATCAAAAACGGCGTTGATCTACCTCGGAAGTACCTGATAGGTCAGTGTCCATCCTATCAACTCCGTGTCATTCACTACGGTGAGTTTCCTATTGTCTCTCCACAGACGTCAGAATAGTCGATCATCGGATCTCAACATGGAGGCTCACGTGGTTCCTCCATCCAATTCGTGGGGTTTTGGCTACCTAAGTTCTCACAGAACTCATCAACAAGACGGGGGAGAACCAAAATGACGTTTGTTATTCCCAGTGGACCAAACAGAGGTTGGTCTGTAGTCACCAAGTTTCAGCTCAAGATATGAATCCTAATGGTGTCTCAAGAGGCGGGATGTCGTGATCTAAGTAGTTTGTATTGGTGGTTCACACCTAGAAGACCGCGAGTCTCGTGCCGATCCGTGAGATCAGTCTACACTCCCAGGATCGAGGAAAACCACACTTAAGGATGCCTTGAATAAAACTGTCTTCTCGTTGATTCTTGTTTTAGACATTTACAAGACATGCCTTCTGGAAAAGTCAGAGTTGAGATTGGAATGAGCTGAGAACGAGATGGCTTGATGGCTTGGGCACAGGCGAGAGGGCTGAGACATGACAATGTAACAAAATCAATATGACGGCAACCCCTCCTGGGACCCTTGTAAATTTATTCTCCGAAATGACCACATGAAAATCTGACGTGTTACAATCAGAAAGAGGCTCAATATGCGGAGAGCAATACCCAGTGTTCTCTTGGATCGCCTTGAATCGAGGTCGCAGCTGCTGTAGGCATTGGTAGGCAGACAGTTCCGGGAATCAGCCCCATTCTTATCGGTAAGGAACCCCAATCATGCTACAGATGAACATAGTGTGGGCGAACCCGGGGGATTGGAACGAGGGGTTCAAGGGGTTCCTATGTGAGGACTGGGGCCAGGGTATAGGGCTGATCTGGTCAGCTCGGTTACAGAATTTTGCAAGTCAGGCGAGGCTGAAGACGGGACACTACACTTGCGCCGCCGCCCTAAGCGTAGATGGAATAGAAGCCTATGGTCTCTATGCCTGGACCTTTATTCACGCGTCTCTGAACAGTCGTGGACCATAGTGCCGGGCCTCAAGACTCGCCTGGCATAATCTCGACGATGGTGCCCGCTCTGTCGCAGGGCGTTAGTCCATATCCATGACCCCAGTTCCGTCTCGATTGTTTTGAAACCCAATAGTGAATGGACTTCCCGCAAAGCCATGTGTTGGCTCTTGTCTGGTCTAGGACATGCAGTCACCCAAGGGTGAGACATCGAGTGTCGCTTGGCACAAGGTCAGGAAACCTTTCTGATGACCAGGCTCGAGTTTCGGGTAACTCCTTCACTGAGTGTCGCAACTGAACGTAATCCGGCGTTACCCACAGAGGGTGATCTGAGTAGATACCCAGACACGACCTATCATTAGGGCCACCATTGATGCATGAGGCTTGAACTAGCGAAATGAAAGATGGTTGAGCGGTATCACGGCAACAGAACAAGTCCGAACATGGAGTCTCGGTACCGGAGGGAGAATAGAGAAGACTAGCCACGGCCCACTTGGACCGATATTTCGAGCTACTTGTCAACGTTGACGGTGAAACTCGACGCGTGTTAGACATGTGAGCCGGCCGTTGAGATGGAGGTTGATGTTCAAGTGGGATGCCGATTGGCGTGCCTGAAAAGAAACGGGAGCCAGCCAAAGTTTGATTTACACCTAGAAAAGGAAGCGAGTCAGAAATCATGCGATATCCGGCCGTCAAAGGCGCGGCAACCCCTTTATTCTGAGAGCGTTGAAACCGTTGAAGATGATCTTGACTTGGCTTGACGTGAATAGCTGGACCAGAACGATTATCCGGCCGAAGCTAAGAGTGGGATGGAGGGCTGATCGTACCGCCACATATGTGGCTGTGCCCGAAGATCTTCGTGATATGGAGGGATGAGGGCCGTCCAGCGCCTCTGATTCGAGCAAAGAATGCTTGTCGCCCGGAGCAGATGTACCGGCATGCATGATGTCATGCATCTTCGACCTCAAAGTGTGGCGTTCGTACAGTGCTCATGGCCTCGTCCGGACTGTACGTCTTGCCCGTCGTTGCGAGCTTGCTTTTTTCTGCTGGGACATGGCATCTTCACCCTGGACCAGCAAGACAACTAAGCTGTCGCCTCAGTCTTCCGCCTCAAAGACAGGCAGGCAGGCCCACACAAGGTGCCTGCAGAGCAAAACATAAGGCATAAGAGAGGGGTCCATTACCTTCCGAGACGTGGCACAGCTCTGTCTGTGTCTGTAGAGACATGTCGATGGCCATTGAGAACCCCTTGCCTCGCAATCTCCTCATGATGGACGGCAGGGTCGGTTGGCGAGGGCCCCTGGACCCGGAAAACACAAGAGGGGTCCAGGCTAAGAAGGCGACAGTGGGCTGGTCCAGCAAACCTCAAGAGACTCTAGCGACTCTGGGTGGGTAGAGTGGGGAGGAGGCGCCTTGATCGCCGATTCACGACATTGTTCGAGCGGTCTGGCCCTGCCGATAATGGTGCCTCTGCAATCCTGTCGTGCGAGCAAGCACGATATTGGCATCTGTCTCAAGCCATGGGCCCAGCTAGACGCGCGGTGCGCGGGCTATCGGGAGTCAGCAGCAGAATGACCAAAGAAATCGAGCCATGCGTCTAGAAGCCTTCGATCCGCGTCAGACTTGACGACTCGCGGCATCAGGAGCGTTTGTATTCTTCAAGGAAGCAGAGGTTATGAGTGACAACTGCTGTGTCCTTTGATATCAGCGCGCCGGTCCCATGCCAGCGTATCATGACCGTCCACCAGAGTGCCTGGATATATGGGCCTCTGTTGTGAGGATTCCAGTCCGAGGGGACGCGGTTTCGGGACCAGACGTGGTTGTTGACTTTGTGTGTCGAAACTGTTTCCCTCTGTACACTGAGACTGGCCGGTATCGCTCCTGCGAGTATGAAAGTCTCTTCTGTTTGCAATCTGCCGGCAGAAAAAGGGTCATGGGGCGACGTCTGGCGGTTGAAGCTGATCCAGCTAATGATGCCAAGCGCTGGTTGTTCAGTAATTACTGAACATGGTCCTCGGTTTGGCAGTTGGACGCGCAAGACGAGGCTCGGGTCCTCCGTGTGTGCCGTGGCATTGCTTGAAATGGATCCTTTGCATTTCCTTTGTTGCGGTTTTGGGTTTTGGGTTTTGGCTTCGGTCTTGATGTCGTGGTCGCGGGATCACCAAGTCCATCAAATTCCACCACGAGACCGCCGTCGATGGACGAAAGCATCCGTCATGGACGTGGACATTGACATTGATGGCGGGAGCATGTCATCTCCTCCCGTGCCCACCCACAGGTGAAAAACTGTTGTGACCGGTCAAAGTGTCGGCAGCTCGTGCGACGCACTAGGGTGTTCCACTGATCCTCGTCGTAGGGCCAGAAGAAGGACCGCACTCTGGTCGTATTACGGGGTCCCAAGATGGGATTTTGAGCGCTGCTCGATGGAGGGGAAAAGGGATCGACGGGGCTAACAGAGTAACATGTGAGGCCGATTGGCGGCCAAGTGATGCCTTGCGCGATTGCCCACTTCCATGTTGATCCTCTGACTCTGTTTCGATGAGTGATGGGCAGCCTCGATAGGTAATCAGTCTCCCACACTGTGCATCGCCACCTCCACAAGCGCAAGTGCAAGCAGTCGCTACCTACACTGCGGCGGGCCGCAAGCAAGCACCAAGCCCAGGGTACCTTCCTTCTGTAGGTACTGCACCGACCAAGCCCATGTACCTCCCATCATCCTCCACCGAAATCTCCATGCCACGGCTAGAGTAAATTGTTTCTTTGCCTCGTCTTGCCTCCCATGCCCTCGCACCTAAGTCAAACGACTCGAGCCTCCTGAGAGCGAGCAATCGTCATCCCTTCCTTCATCTGCAGCTGTTGATAGCTTCCGTCTGATACACCTTGGCCCCTGTTGATCTTGGATCCCACCTCGTTGCCTTGCGGCGGGCATTGCCCTTCTCCAAAAAAGTCTCCAACGACATCGACCTCACTCACTCTCCCCGATCTTCGCTGCTCACGGTGCCCTCCGCTATTTTCTTTTCTTCTATGACAATTTCACTAGTCTGGACATCACGGGAATGTGTGACGCTGTAGGGCCGTCATCACCTCCCGAATAATTTCTCCTTGCCCCTCCCAAGCTCTCGCAGCCTTCCATTCATCTTGAACGTCAAGCTTCGCGACTGTTAGGTTAGCGATTAGCCAGGCTCGCCATGGATGCGCCGCGTGAGAATGAGGAGTTGAACGACCTCCAACCTCAGCAGCAAGACCCGGCAGCTGCATCTGCATCTGCATCTCCTTCTCCCTCTTGCCCTCCCCGTCCGCCCCAGTCTTCGACTCCATCCTCATCGACTCTCAAAGGTACAGACCATGCGTTGATAGCAGATCTACGTACCAACTCTCCCAGCGCAACACCTACACGACCGACCCGCGCTGTCTCGTCTGCTGCACCGAGCGAGCAGAACAGCGTCGCCCACTCGGACCCTCCCTTCTCTCCCTGGAGTGCTAGCTCGGACCATCAGCTGGGCCATCACTCTGCCGCTTCCGACATCTCTGGCGACCGGGTCTTCCCCATCAGATCTGTTGTCAGCCTTGATCCTAACACCAGTAAGATTACCGGTGACGATTACTTCCCTGCCATGCACGAAGGCGATGGCCGGGGCATTCCTGTCCAGTTCCCAGGTGCTGCCCGAGCTGACAAGGGACCAGATCTGAGACGCTCAGACACTGTTCCAGCTTCCTACCACTCTCGATCTCAGAATGAACGCCTCGCTTCCATCATGCGCAGGAAGAATACCCTTAGCGGGCCAATGTCAAGCATACAACTGGATGCCGCGCGCCATGGGAGCAGCACAATACCGCTACAACTCGATATATCCACCTCAGACCACGAGACGGAGGAGTCGGGTCCATTGGGGCATGCCGGACTTGGTCCAGCTGAGGAAGAACCCGAGATGCCCTCAGGCGCATCTGTGGGCCAGGCCAGCACCGATATTCAGCACGTAACCGCACGCTTCACGCACGTGGTAACCGATGATGGCCACGCCGTCATCACTGGCCGAGATGGTGTTCTTCAGCGATGTGAAGACGAACCTATTCACACACCCGGTGCTGTTCAAACATTCGGTGTCCTTGTTGCGCTGCGCGAGGAGAATGATGGTTGTTTCGTTGCCCGATATGTCAGCGAGAACGCCGAGAGAATATTGGGCTACACCCCCCGACACCTGTTTCGACTTAAGAACTTCTTAGACATCTTGACGGAGGAGCAGCAGGATAATCTTCTGGATCACATCGACTTCATCCGCGACGAGGATGCTGACCCAGCTATTAATGGTCCCGAAGTGTTCAGTTTGTCGATTCGACCCCCAAAACGCAAGAGCATGAAGCTTTGGTGTGCTATTCATATCAACCCAGCGCACCCCGATTTGATCATCTGCGAGTTCGAACTGGACGACGACATTGAATACCCCCTCCGACCCAACGACGAAATGACACCAGACACCCCCCATGATACGTTACAATCGAACCCTACCTTGGAGGAAATCGAGGCCAGCACAGAGGTTCTCAGCAAACCCCTCAGGATCCTGAGAAGCGCACGAAAGAGGAGGGGTGAACAAGGCGCCATGCAGGTTTTCGACATAATGTCTCAGGTTCAAGAACAACTCTCATCAGCTCCCAACCTAGAGGCCTTTCTCAAGATCCTAGTCGGCATTGTCAAGGAACTGACAGGATTTCATCGTGTCATGATATACCAATTCGATTCTTCTTTCAACGGCAAGGTTGTTACTGAGCTTGTTGACACGTCCACGACAAGAGACCTCTACAAAGGCCTTCACTTTCCCGCATCCGACATTCCACGACAGGCTCGTGATCTCTACAAGTTGAACAAGGTTCGGTTACTCTACGATCGGGACCAAGACACGTCGCGGATCGTCTGCCGTACCAAGGAAGATCTGGACGTGCCCTTGGATATGAGTCACTCATACCTCCGAGCCATGTCCCCAATCCACCTAAAGTACCTCAAGAACATGGCTGTACGGTCATCCATGTCGATATCTATCAACGCCTTTAACGAACTATGGGGCCTCATATCTTGCCATTCGTACGGTAAGATGGGTATGCGAGTATCTTTTCCGATTCGAAAGATGTGCCGTTTGGTCGGAGACACGGCATCACGGAACATCGAGAGACTCTCCTATGCTTCACGGTTGCAGGCCCGAAAGTTAATCAACACAGCTCCCACGGACAAGAATCCTTCTGGCTATATTATTGCCTCATCAGAAGATTTACTGAGACTGTTTGATGCTGACTTCGGGTTGCTGTCCATCAAGGGCGAGACAAAAATCATGGGCCTCATTGAGCAAAGCCAGGAAGCACTCGCCATGCTGGAATATCTGCGAATGCGTAAGCTCACGTCTGTGGTCGCTTCACAGGACGTCAAAGAGGACTTCCCTGACCTACGGTATCCGCCCGGTTTCCAGGTTGTGGCGGGGTTGTTATACGTCCCTCTGAGTGTTGGAGGCAGCGACTTCATAGTCTTCTTCCGCAAGGGACAGATCAAGGAGGTGAGATGGGCTGGAAACCCCTATGAGAAGGTTATCCGCGAGGGTACTGCCGACTACCTTGAGCCAAGGAAAAGCTTCAAGACATGGCACGAGACGGTCATAGGCAAGTGCAGAGAGTGGAACGAGGAACAAGTAGAGACGGCTGCTGTTCTATGTCTCGTTTACGGTAAGTTGCCTATGGCAAGTTATGGATGATCACGAACAGCCCCTATTAACACGACGTAGGCAAATTCATCGAGGTCTGGCGACAGAAGGAGGCGGCTCTTCAGAACAGCAAGCTCACCCGCTTGTTGCTCGCCAATTCTGCTCATGAGGTCCGAACACCACTAAATGCCATTATCAACTATCTCGAAATCGCACTCGAAGGTTCGCTCGATCAGGAAACCCGCGAAAACCTTGCGAGATCGCATTCGGCTTCAAAGTCTCTTATCTATGTGATCAATGACTTGCTCGATCTGACCAAGACAGAGGAAGGGCAGAGCCTTGTCAAGGACGAGGTGTTCGATCTGGCTAGCTGCATCAGAGAAGCAACTGGTCCTTTTCTAGCTGATTCCAGGCGCAAGGGGATTCATTACACTGTCATTCAGCATCCGGGGCTGCCGGAGTTCGTTCATGGAGATGAGCGACGTATCCGGCAAGCCATTTCCAATGTTGCAGCAAACGCTGTAGCACATACTGACAAAGGACATGTTAAGATTGACGTGTTTGTGTCGGAGGTTAAGGACCAGCGCGTCGTGGTAGATTTCGTTGTTGAAGATTCAGGCATCGGCATGAGCGCAGGCCAACTCGATGCCCTTTTCCGCGACCTGGAACAAGTGAGTACGGAGGAGTTACCTAGACCAGCTTCCCAGATGGCAAACATGCCACGGGAGATGCGTACTCTCGGTCTTGGGCTTGCCGTCGTTGCACGTACCGTTCGAAACATGGACGGCCAACTTCGCCTCAAATCAGAGGTTGGCCAGGGCTCGAGATTCGTGGTCCAGCTTCCTTTCCATCTCCCGGATGAGTCGCCAAGTTCGGAAGCCCGGAGCGGACCAAGTGCTAAGACGGCAGCCTCATCGAACCCAGTGACCTCTGCCCCCTCTTCCTTGACGGTGGCACCAGAGGGCGAGATTATGCTTGTCGACCGGGCAAGCACAACGGGTCCTTTGGATGGCGATCTTGTTGGCGATCGAGGAAGTATGGGAAGCCGACAGAGTCGAGCCAGTCATACCAGCCACGGGAGCCAACTCAGTGATGCCGATCGCTTGATTGACGCTATTCAGACGCCATTATCCCTCAATGAGAAAGAAGGGGGAGAGTTCCCTCTTATGGAGAGTATCCGCTCAGGAGGTTCTGGCAGGCCCAGATCTCGCGGCGCTCTTAGTGCCGGTGCTCGTTCCTCCAGCCCATCCCACAGAGAACCTCAAAGCCCTGTCGCAGTCAGTGCTCCAGGGACACAGCCCGGTCGAGCAGAGGTCCAAGACACCAAGACTTCGATTCGGGCTGTCAAGATACCCGATGACTACACTGATATGCCTCGGAGGCCACAGGGCGGCGAGAACTCTGGCGTACTATTCGAAATCAAGGGTGGTGATCGCGCCGCCTCGAAGGCTGGCACGGAGAGTGTGACCAGCGGCGGAACTCACGCGACTGATTCTCAGCGTCTTGAGGTTCTCGTTGCGGAAGATGACCCAATCAACATGAAGATCCTGAGAAAACGGTTGGAAAGGTTGGGGCATGGCGTGCATGGCACTGTCAACGGCGAGGATTGTGCCACGGTTTATCGTGAAAAGTCGACCGAGTTTGACGTTGTCTTGATGGACATGCAGGTAAGATAAGATTTCTTGATGCGGGAATGTCTCGTATTAGTTGCTAATCAATTCACAAGATGCCCATCGTTGACGGCCTCACGAGTACAAAGATGATTCGGTCGATAGAGGCATCGGCAGAACATCACGGCCACTCGACACTCTCGCTCACAAACCATCGCATTTCCATCTTTGCCGTCTCAGCGTCTCTTGTTGAGCGTGAGAAGCAAACATATGTAGATGCTGGATTCGACGGATGGATTCTCAAGCCCATCGACTTCAAGCGACTTAACACTCTGCTGGCAGGCATCACAGATGCCGACGTTCGAAACACATGCCTATACGAACCAGGCCAATGGGAGCGTGGAGGGTGGTTTTGGTCTAGGTCCGAAATCAATCCAGAATCTCAAGATACTACACCAAAGGCTGAGAATGAGGTCAAAGAGCTCGGTGTGAGCACATCCTCGGCGGAACCTGCGAAGGGTGATGCCGAGACCTCTGCTCCCGCCAGTTGATGGGGTTCTATCAAGTGCCACCCCTGGGCATGTTTGGTGCCTACAACCTAGATGCTACTCCATCATTCCTGTCAGTTTCTGTTTCTTGTCTCTGTTTTACGGTTTAAGCCCTTACGATACACGCTTTGTATACGGTGGATATAACTGGTGTTGGGGTGTTTGGTCACGAAGAGCGAGGATCAGTCGTGTCGCCCGCTCTCTTTTTTTGCTTTAGTTTCTTTTTTTCGTTTCTTTGTTCAGGTATGATAGAGGGATGAGGAATGACGGCCATGAAGTACACGAAAAGCATGGGTTCTGGGGTCTGGTGTTGGGTGGTAGGCTGGTTGGGCTTCTTGAGTTCTTTTTTTTGGGGGGGGGGGGGGGCGCGTCGATTCCCTCATCTTATACAAACTTGCTCTTGATGAGCTTGATGAAGGGGGTCTGCTGGTATGGACAGGACAAGGCTACCATAAAACGTTGGGGGCCTAGACATTGAACGGATGGTGGGTAAAGGGGCGGCAGGGACTGGCCACGAGCCTATGATAGACATACATGCACAAGGCATCCGCACAAGAAAAGGGGGGTCGATGAATGAATTCATGGATGGCGAGGGGAGAGGACGGTCTGTGTCGATGGCATCACATCTGGCAGCAGCATTCACGAAATCAGATCAATACAGAGTATTCATTACATCAACAGCCTAGGAATTGTATTGACAAGACGACATGCAACACATTTATTCCCCCCTCACCTTCCAACAGGTTAGATCAAGCAAGTGCAGTTATTGATGTGTATTTTTTTCATAGCCTATCAAACGTTCAACGCCGTCTATGCATTAATACCGCAAATCCCAATTGTCCCCTCCCTATCCCTCTCGCTTTGCTACCTGTTTCCCCCCTTCTTCTCCAACCATCTACAACGCTATGTATCGCCGGACCGTTGCACCTATCCTTCCTTGCACGCTGGTCAATGGTGTTGCCACATAATTCGTCTCGTTGTGCCCAAAATAAAAGATTAGCCCCCGCCCGTGTGTTTCTACCCAGTTCTCAGAGTTATTGAATGACTCCCGCGACTGGAACGTCCGGGGGCGCGCCCTCTCGCCGTGCCGCGCTACAGCTCAGATTCGGCGCCGTTGGTGGACAGGGCCATGGGGCTGCCGTTGTGGTTCTGCCTCTGGCGGAGGCGGGCGTTTCCAGGGGGGCGACGGCGGACCATGACGCGGCCATTAACGCCGCCCTGGCTGCCATTCTCCTCCTCCTCGTCCGAATCCGGGTTCTGCTCAGCGTAGAGGCGAGCTTCGTCGAGCTCGTTGATGTTTGTGGGGCGGTCGCGAAGCCACTGCATCCGGGGACCGGATCGGGCTCGCTCCGAGACGCGGAAGCCGTAGATGCGCGGCTCGTATATGCGGCCGGGGCCGAGTCCGGGGCCAATATTCTTTGCGTACATGCCGTTAATGAGGCCTTCACCGTCGTTGACTCGGGAGCCTGAGGTGGAGAGCACCTCGATGCCACGCTTGGTGAGGTCGTATTCGGGGAAGGTGAGGAGGAAAAGGGAGCCAAAGGTGCGGCCAAAGAAGGCTCCGTCAACAGTCTGGAACCGGCTGTTGGGGGGGACGTAGACGTCCAAGCATGAGGGGCAGAAGAGCTTGACAGTATCCTCGCCAGGGATGTCGGATAGGCCGACGGGTAGAGTGCGGGCCTGGTCGCAGTTTGTCCGGGGGCAGCAGCCAAAGTGGCCGAGCTCGTACTTTTCGCTCATTTGTTGGATGCCAGCCCTCGAGCAGATGAAGCGCTGGTGGATGAGCCCGTAGAGCATTTCTGCCGAAGACTCTATGACGGACAGGTCGCTCGCCATGCGGTGATGCCTTCGCTCGCCAGGTTGCCTGGCCAGGCGCTCAGGATCAGACTCGTTTTCATCTTCTTCTTCCTCGTCTTCATCTTCGTCCTCGTCGTCTTCTGGTTCCACGTCCAAGATCATCTATCAGGGGGAACACAACATTAGTCTTGCATCATAGACGAAAGATCGGCACGAGCAAAAAAAAAACATACCTCCAACGCCTCCTTGTACATGGCCACCTGGGTTTGCAACCCGGTCAAGTTGAAGTCATCCTCTATAAACTCCTCCGAGACCTCGGCAAAGTATTCGTGACCGAGAAGAGAACAGAAACTGGAGATCCAAGACTCGGGCACGCCTGAAGAGGTCGACATGGCGGCGTGGGATGGGTTGAGGCCAAGGCCACAGTCGGGATCAGGGATCAGGGGAGGGTGCGCACTGGCGCAGGGACGCGATATGTGGCAGCCGGCGCGGGGTGAGGCGAGGTGAAAGGTTGTGACGGGCGCGTGGTATCGATAGCGTCAAGAGGGTGCTCGGGCACGCTTCTAATCGAAGGCGGGGTGACGGCGGTCTTGTGAGGGGCGCGATTCTGAGAGCCACGGGCAGGACACGATATATACGGGAGACGGCACGAACATCTATCGCATCGCAGAGTCAGGCTCAGAGCGCCAGCGTCGCAGAGGCGTCGAGCGACTCGGGGGAGGGGTTTTGGAGGGGGAGGGTCGAGTAAAGCTGTTTTTTTGGTTGACCTTTTGGTGCAACTGGCGAGAGGGTCGACGATGGATTGGATGGATGGGTTCAGGTTGGCGTGGACCGGCACCTGCACCGTGGGCTCGGCGCTAGGGTTTTACCGGGTTCCGACCTGCATCCAATACTATCAGTCTTCCATCCCGTCTGCCCCAACCACCAGCGATTATCTATGAGTCGAGAAAAGACGGATATATCATGTCAGATACGGCTCAATTTATTTATTTTTATTTTTATTATTCATGATTGAATCTCCCTGAGCCAATCGTTCCTCAATCTCATGGTCATGGGAAGTCTCCTCATCACCTCATCATGGATCCGCCATCTGTCTAAGACGGCTACTCTTTGTTGTCGCCGACTATCAACACAAGTCACTCGGCCAATCGCCTTGACGCCCTCAACTTCGGAACTTTTCAACATCGACGCATTTCGTGAACAGGCCTTTAAACCTCAGAAACCATTCTTCTTTGGACGAAATGACGGCTCTCCCGCAGCGCTGTTACCAGCGGCGAGCAAGTGGTTCGAGAAGCATACAACCGACTTGGATATGAATTCGACAAACTTCTCACGATACATGGACCAGTTCCAAGAATGGGGATTTCCTTATGAGCTCGTCACGCCATCGGCCCCCAACAAGGAAGCCCTGCTATCATTTCGCAATTGGCTCTCCTCAAGTGAGGAGCAAGTCGACCAACTCCTCGCCAGCATCCTCGAACCATCCATCGAAGAACTAGAGACCGGGTCATTTTTCCAACTCCTTGCGCCTCTGAGGCTTCTCGTTAAAGCCCTCGAGTTCAACCAAACTCAGCCGGAGCCCGTCAGCCTCTACATTGCCCAGTCCTCTCTCACAGATCTCCCCGTTGCTCTTCAGAAGGATCTTCCAACTCCGGATATAGTCCAAAGTGCTGGCAAAGGCGATGTCTACAACTCCAGCATATGGCTTGGCACGGAGCCGACGTACACACCCTTACACCGCGACCCGAACCCCAACGTCTTTTGTCAGCTATGCAGCAGCAAGGTCATCCGTCTCATGGCACCGGCGTTGGGCGACAGGCTCTACTTCCAGGTGCAGTCTCGGATCCGACAACAGGGTAACAGCCGTATAAGAACGGTTGACATGATGGAGGGAAAGGAGAGGGAGGCACTATATGAGGCTGTATGGGAACATAATCCTCTACCAGAAGGGTTGTACGAGGCTGAGTTGCGGCCTGGGGATGCCTTGTTCATCCCAAATGGTTGGTGGCATTCTGTCAAGAGCAAGGGGTCAAGGGGGCATTTGAACGGGTCCGTCAACTGGTGGTTCCGATGATATCATGGCATGAGCCGTCTCTTCTTGTATACTTCAACTACAGCGATCTCCATACTTTAGCTTTTCGACACGGGCTTACAGATGATCCAATTGAGATACCCACAAGGCCAGAGATGCACCTTGCTACCGCTCTGCATCTCCCATCTGCTCGTATCCGCGCCACAGCTCCGCAGCAGGGCCTCCACCTCGTCAGGCGTCCGGGTTCGCAGTGCCGAGATGTACCCATCAAAGGCGAGAACAAAGGGCAGAATAGGGATCAGACATGAGAAGATAAAGGTCGACGGAGACCGCCATTTCCACGCGTACAGGGGTGCGCTGAGGATGGCGCCGATGCCCAGCAGCGTGACCGCCACGAAGCTCGCGAAACTGCGGTCCTGCAGTTCGAATATGGCAAATCCCTCACTCGTCTGGACGGTATCGCGCAGGATCGCCTTCGCAAGGTCATCGTCGAAGTGATGGAATGCCAGGTTGAACAGACGGAACGGCTTCGTCCCGTCATCTCTCCTTGCGAGATGCTCTGGCGCGGCGCTCGCATCGACAGGCTCGCGCTCATACGTCACGAGCGGGTTCCTTTTGGTGACAGCATCCCATGCCTCGACGTTAGGGTGCAGGTCCGTCAGGACGAAGCGGACGGGCGAGGCGCCGCGCGAGTGCAGGTGTGTGTTGACGGTGCGGGCGATCGAGGGCGTGGGGCCGCCGCCGCCAGCGCAAAAGTCGACAAAGGTGTAGTCGGGTAGAGACGAGTCGAGGTGCTCGATCAGGAGGGAGGCGGCGAGGCTGGCGGGGGATTGCGATTGGAGAGGCGTGTTGGACATCCAGGCGCGGGTGAGGGCATCTTGGACACGGGCGCGGAGGAAGGCTGGGAACCTATGGTGAGTGTCAGTATCGAGTAAGGCAGTAGCAGTCGCATTTGAAGCTGCGCATTCATGGCGTAAAGCTTCATGTCCAAAGTCAGGTGTTCCAGAGCTCTCAGAGTTGAATATGAAGCTTGGAGAGGTAGGATCACAGCCCAAGCTCCAGCGGAGGGGAAGAGGTGGTGACGAGTGGACCTAGCTTATACGTACCAAGGCTGGTCGTCAATCTCAAAGAGATGCATCCGAGGGATTAAAGGCGCCATTCTCACTGGTGAAAT